AAAGAGTCCCTCATTACTTTAAGTTTGAGTATATGTTGTTGAAGGACTCAGATTGCAAGGAAGTGGTTAAGGAAGCTTGGAACAGTAGGGAAACAACTTTTTCCATGGCTGAAGCTGTCAATAGGTTGAGAAGATACAGTTCCAGGCTGGCAGCTTGGAGTAAACAGAAGTTTGAAAATAATAAGAAGCAGCTACAAGAGATAGAGAAAGAACTAATCAAAGTCCAGATACAAGCCCTATCAGAGGAGAATTTGAGTAAGGAAACAGAGTTATGCTCCCAATTGGACGGAATTAGAAACAGAGAGGAGAAATTCTGGATGCAAAGATCTAGAATTAATTGGCTGAAAGAAGAAGATCAGAATACTAGATTCTTTCACCTCTCTACTATACAGAGGCGACAAAGAAACTAGATCATCAAACTTAAGAATGAAGATGCAGAATGAGTGGAAGAGGAGAAGGAGATCAGTGTCCTTATTGAGGATTATTTCCAAAAGCTGTTTACCACATCTGGAGTGAGAGAATTTGATGAAACTCTGAGTGTAGTGCAAAGTAGAGTTACAGAGTAGATGAACCAGAACCTAATAAGGCCTATCATAGAGAAGGAAATGCATGAGGTAGTAAATCAATTGGGTTTCCTCAAAGCCCCGGGCTCAGATGGCTTCCTTGGGATATTTTATCAAAATTTATGGCACACTGTAGGACTAGACATGACTAACTTGATGAGAAAATTCTTTGAGGATGGGCTAATGTTGGAAGAGCTCAACTCAACCAATCTGGTCCTTATTCTGAAGGAAAATGCCCGAGAAGAAATTGCTCAATTCAGACCTATAGCTCTTTGTAATTTATTGTACAAAGTTATCTCAAAAAACTTGGCGAATAGGATGAAGAGGCTCGTGGGCATTATAATTTCTCCTAATCAGGTAGCATTCATTCCAAATAGGCAGATCTAGGATAGCATTATGATCGCTAATGAAGTCTTCCATCATTTGAAAGGCAAGAAAAAGGGAAGGATGCCTGAAATAACGATCAAAATGGATATAAGCAAAGCATACGACCGTGTTGAGTGAGATTTCTTGGAAACAACCATACTAAAGATGGGTTTCTGAAGCCACTGGGTGAATCTTGTTATGCAACGTGTAAGAACTGTGTCCTTCAAGGTTGTTCCTCAATGGTATCAAACCCTAAAGGGGGATTAGACAGGGAAATCCTATATCTCCATACCTTTTTATCATCGTTGTTGATGTGCTCTCATCAATGCTAAACAAAGGAGCTGCTGATAGGAAATTTGTGGAGATAAAGGTAAAGAAAAGGAGCCAGGCTATTTCCCCCTGTTCTTTGTAGATGACTCACTGTTCTTCATCCAGGCAAAGGAATAGGGGGTTTTGAAGCTTATCAGAATCCTTCATAACTAATGTGCTACATCAGGACAGAGCACCAACCACCAGAAATTAGGTATCATCTTCTCGTCCAACACTTCATTAGAACAAAACACTTTTTTATACAATCTATTGGGTATGCAATGCCTCCCACACAATGCAAAGTATTTGGGGATTCCTACAATATGGAATAGTTCGAGGAAGGAAATCTTTGGTTTTATTTTTTGAGAGGTGGTGAAAAGGCTTCAAGGATGGCGAAGTACCCTGCTATCTCAAGTAGGAAAAGAGGTGCTGATTAAGGCGGTTATTCAAGTCATTCCTAATTACATTATGTCAGTGATGGAGCTCCCAAAAAGCTTCTGCCATCAACTTAATGGTTATATCAGGAAATTCTGATGGAAAAATGGGGAGGGAAGTAATGGAATTTGTTGGAGAAGTTAGGAGAGGATGGTGGAACTGAAAGAAGTGGGAGGAATGGGATTTAAAGAGTTTAATATGTTCAACCAAGCTTTATTGGCAAAACAGTGTAGGAGAATTATCAGCCAACCAGATGCTTTTTGGGCAAGGTTCATCAAAGTCATTTACTTCCCTAATGAGGATTTTATGAAAGCCAAACGAGGGGCCAAACCCTCTTGGATATGGTGTAGCTTCCTTCATGGAAGAGAGCTTCTCAAAAAAGGCTTGATATGGTAAATCAAAGATGGAAAGGAGGTCAACTTTTGGGATGACAAATAGATTCCTCATTTAGCTAACTTGGGAATACAATCTCCAAGACCACATGATTGTTCGATCACCCAGGTTGCTGATGTTATAAAAGAGAGACCATTAGAATAGAATGTCCAGTCACTCCAGGATAATGTCTCAAGAGAAGAAATGAGAGTCATTCAGTCTATCCCAATTCCAGCAAAAGAGGGTAAGGATAAGAGGATTTGGTGGCCTGACTACAAGGGGGAGTACAAGGTGAAATCAGGTTACAAGCTGGGGATTGCCAGGGATACCTGCCCAAAAGAGACTAGCCCCTCCTTTTTCCCCCACCCAAAGATGTGGCAGGCGATATGGAGCATGAAGGTAGTGCCTAAGGTGAAACATTTCTAGTGGAAAGCATGCCACAACATTCTTGCATCCCAAGAGAGCCTCTACAAGAGAAAGTGTGCCACCTCGCCAGAATGTAAAATCTGTCTGCTTGCCCCTGAGTCAGTTGAACACTTATTATTTGAATGTGAATGGACTAGAAGAATGTGGTTTGGAATGGATATGGCATTCAATGTTGAACAAGTGGGCTTCATGTCTATTGCCCAACGTACCTTCTAGGTATTGGAAGCAGTTAGTGATCCTCAAAGGAGAAATGAGGTTCTGGAATGATGGCAACAATAAGATGGATTATATGGAAAGAAAGGAAATAGAAAATTTTCAACAATGAGTCCCCAAATGCATATGCTACTGTTGTAAGAGGGAAAGGTTTATGGAACGAGATTCTTAAAATGGAATGTGCTACGCAAGGAAATAGAAGAAGCCTATGGGTAATGAGGAGATAATGCAACAGCTCAGACCTGGGATCGTTATTTGTTGTGATGGGGCCTTTAACCAAAAACCAATGAAGTTGTCTGTGTTGTGCTCATGTTCAATCCTAAGGGAGGTCAGATGGATGGAGCATCTCAAGCCTTCTTTGCTATGCCAAGTCTGTTTGCAAAAGTAGTGGCAATCTAGCATGCTTGTCTCATGGTAGAAGCATACTCACTGATGAATGTTACAATCATAAGCGACTGCCTTAACGCCATCAAGCTGAGCGCCACAAAGGACGTTCCCCCATGTTAAATCAACACAGTTATGGAAGACATAAAATCTATGGCTAGACTACACAAAATTAGATTTTTACACAAACCTAGAGCCAATTTAAAGGCAGCTCTTTGGGTGGCATCCGCTATGATACATAACTCACTTCCACGAGGATGGATTGAGTCTCCACCCCCAGAGCTTAAGGCTTTTGGCTTTTATTGAAACTGATTGTAATTCAAATTTTCTTATTTAATGAAATAATATACACTGGCTATTTTGGATCAAAAAATAATATGGAGGTCCATTTCCTTCCAAAATAAACTACACTGATACTGTACTTATCACTAAATGTGAAAATCTAAATTTTTTACCTCAATTTCGCCCAATTAGTCTCTTCAATATTATTTATAAAATAATATCTAAAATCCTAACTAATTATTTGAAGTATATTCTTCCCTCGGTCATTTCTGAGACTCAAAGTGGCTTCCTTCTGAGTAGATTGATTACTGATAATGTTTTAGTAGCCTTTGAATTCAATCATTTTCCAAAGTGTAAAAGTTGGGATAAAATAGATCATGCTACTTTGAAGCTTGGCATAAGTAAAGCCTATACTAAGGTGGAATGGGTGCTCTTGTTAAAAATGATGAATATAGTAAATTTTGACGATAGATGGATATCGTTGATTATGCAATGCTTCTCAACCATCTCGCATTAGAATATGAGCAATTAGTTATTTCCATCCCCACCATCTCGTATTCTATTATTTTGAATAACGAGCAATTGGGTTATTTCTATTATGAAAGGGGTGTTCAACAAGGACACCTTTTGTCGCCTTACTTGTTTCTTATTTGTTTGGAAGGTTTCATAGCCCTTTTACGTGATGCAGAGTTGAAAAGGACGTTGATTGGTATTGCGGTGGGTAGGGGTGTCCACGGGTCAGACTAGACTAGGCCTGCAAAAATTTTTTCAGGCCAAGCTGGATTGCGTAGGCCTAAACTTTTACCTAAGTGAGTTATCAGACGGGATGGGCCAAACTTCAGATAAGGGTAAGCTACCAGCAGCCCAACCCGCTAGCCTATTGGATAGGCTTGCTGGGCGGGCCTGCTAGCAAGTTTTTTTAAATACAAATTCATTTAAAAATAATGAATATTTATGTAAATTATATTTTTGAATAAAAAATAAAGTTAAAATGAATAAAAAAATGCATAATTTTATTTTTAATTATGAGATGAACTACATCTAATAAAATGAATACATCCTAACTAGGTTGACACCTACTCACTTATCTATCATTTGCATTACTCTACTATTTAAAACTTGTATGCTTAATACATAAAAAATAAAATAATACATTATTTATAGTATCTAAATTTTTAAAAGTTTAAATTCTAACATTGAAAAACTTATTTCAAAATTTCAAATTTAATTGTCTAAAAATATAAATTTTTTCAAAGGAAAGGTAGACAGACTATGTAGGCAGGGCAGGGCTTGATAGATGAGGTATTGGGCCGGACTTCAGGTCGGGTAATGAATTTATGGACAAATCCAACCTCTCATTTTAAGTATATTAGGCTCAAGCAGGTTAACTATCAGGCCTATTAAATTTCAGACTTATTTTTCGAGCCGGATAACGAGACCCGTAAATAACCCAACCCATAAACACCCTAGTTATGGGTAGAGGCTGTCCAAGGATATCTCACCTCTTATGCGCTGACGATAGCCTCCCATTCTTGAATGGATCACAATTAGAAGCTGGGGTGGTGAAATCAATCCTTAAGCAATACGAAGCTACTTCAAGTAAAAAATATGAAAAAAATTATACCAAACGTAATTTGAGGCTATTATATTTTATCTCCCTATATTATAAGAATTTACACATAATCCCCAACAATATGAAATCATACTATACACACAAAGAGAAATTCTAATTTCAATCCCAAACCACAGAGAATTGAGTATACGTTTGTGAAATATGGGGAGATAACATATTATCTCCACGAACCACCTAAAAATAATCTACAATTCATCAAAAAGCCTTACTTAAGAAAGAGACACCTCAAATTGGAGCATCCATCAACAAACAGGTCGAACAAAGATGATCACCTTATTCCTCAGTTCCATTGAAGAAAAGCTTTTCTGGTGAAAAATAAAGCATCGAATGTCTCGTTTCTGCAACCTCAAATAAAAATTTAAAAAAAAAGAACTACTTAAATCTTGCAAACAGAAATAGTGCAGAACAATTGAAATTGATTCATGATGGGACTAAGTTACCTGAAATAAACAGATAGAAAGCTAATCTACTTGGTCCAAGGCGCTCCCCTGTAAAGAGAGGCCATTACATATCAATTCTAGCAAATGACAATATTTCACATGGAGGTGCTTCTACATAATTACAACAACAACAACAACAACAACAAAATGTCTGAAGAATGAAAGCTAGGTACAAGGTGAAGATCTTAGTTTTTTCCAGTGCACTCTCAGCTGCTCCCAGAATGAATTTTGCATGAAACGTGGTTTGGTCTGAATCAGATGAAACATGTTTTGATCTATTGACGATCCATGAAAAGTATATGGCAATGATTCATGTTGCAGCCATAAATACAGTGCCAACGCCATATCCTGTCCACATGGAAACCAATAACTTGAGTAACAGTTAACCTTGTTTGAACACGAATACATCACTAGCATGCACGATTCAAACAGCTGAAGTCATTTGAGGGGATAACAGAAGCAAGTGAGATCCCAGCAACAAAATACAGATCTCAAAAAATAGTGTTTATTTGCTTGCCATTTCGCAAGGTAACCAAGTAGGCTAGAAAATGGGAAATTAGAAATTTTGTGTGCATGCTTTCGATCTTGTGGACGGAAGTCTATAGTTGAATTTATATCTTCTTTGGCACTAGATTTAGGACAATAAGTTGATGGAATTTTATTATTTATACGATACTGAATTTAACTGTTAAGGGAGTTTCAAGTCTTTCAAATAATTCTTGTACTCCATCGAACGTGATTTTATAATATTATACTGGAGTTTTCTCAGAGTCTAAATTACCTAGAATAGTCCTAACAATTATCAGAGCCCAAGTTTCTTAGTTGGAAGTAGTCCTAATTCAACCTAGTATGCTGCATAACGGATAATTGTTAATGAAGCCTAATTGCTCAAATACATTATGAAACGTTATACTCTATGTCAATTTAAGCCCTTTCAGCTTTATGTCGCAACCAAAATAATTTACCAAAAGCCTTTACACCTAAATCTTAATGTATTCCCGCATATAATACTACAAAACATCTCTGGTGGTGATTCTTAGGCTACTCTGTCTCCCCTCCTCCATATCATCTCAATACTCTCTGTCAAACACAACTTCAAACAGACATCACAGGTCAAAATAAACAGAGAATTAGTAAGAGACAGAATTATTTATTTGAGCATGAAAAACAAACATGGCCGCAAAAAATTGTGAGACCACCACTGTCATCAGGTTCAAATGTAGTCTTGAGCATACCTAGGATTGGATAACCTAAATCAATATAGTTACATACATACCCGAATATATTGATGCAAAATGACTTTACTGATCTGCTAGGGTTAGTTTACCTTTGATCCATGCAATCTCATATGATCTTATTCCGCACTTCTTCAAGTTTTTTCAGAATCTCAGCAGGAGTTCTGTCCAACTCATCTGCAATTTTTCGCTGCAAATCCAGAGGCAATGTTGGGAATTGCTCACACAAATCTCCATCGATCACATCCTGCATAATTTTTGAAATATTTTGGCATCATTACCAACATTCACTGAAACGCTGCTACAATAAAATCGTTACCAAGAAGCAGCGGATTGTCAAAATTGCTTTCTAGGTAAGATCAAGTATGAACTAAATTCCTAACCCGAGCATTTAGAGTAAAAACTATCCGCCACAACTGCATCAAGCAATGGTCAACAGCTTGAAACTATACCCTTTCTTGGCCCAAGTTTGGCTCAAATACAAAGCTAACTGCAAAAAATGGCCATTTTTACTCATTTTACGAAATTCACTTTCCTCTACTGTTGAATGCAAAGATCTATACATTCCTGAGATGGGTATAAACCGACAATGTAGGAGGGAGCCATGGCCAGGTAAAATCGGCTCGCAATCACTAGAAACCAAAACACAGTCGAAAACGAATTCAAAAGGAAAAGATTTGTATTGGGCATGGGCATAAAATGTAATCTAGGAGGGAATCATGGCATAATAAAATCTGGTATGAATCTCTATATTCATTATTAAAAAATAATGATACAATCATACAACATGAATTTCAAAGTAAAGGTAGACTAAGTGAAATAAGAGAGTATATGTTTTACTCACTTCTTGATAAAATTAAGAAATATATTCTATAATCTCAGAAGAGCCTAACATAAGAATATTGGCTCTGGCTGAAGCAGCCAAGGGCCAAATCTCAACCTTCTGAAGCCTATCTCCATCCATGAAGGAATGCTCATAAAACAAACTGGTAATCCTTAAAAATCATAAAAATTAAGATGGATCAATGAAACAAGACCTATCCTTTTGTGAGTGAAACTGTATGTTGTGCCTTCAAGTTGTATGACAGATAGGTGCATGATGGCAAATAAGGAAGCACAAGGTATACCCAAAAAAAAAAAAAAAAAAAAAAAAAAAAAAAAAA